AAAAGTTTTCAAAAGTGAACACATCGATCTACGTTAGCGTCGACTCAAGTTCGTAGGACAAGTTGGCGAAGATGTAATACCCTCAGATTGGATCACTGTTAAACTCTTTACTGCTACTTTTTGCCGGCCTTTAGCTGGTAAATGCCAACCGATCGAAAAACAGTGGAAGTAGAGAAAAACACAGATGCATGTCCGCAATGTGATCATTTTCTGGGGTTTCTCTTCCAGAAAACACGGGCAATAGTCATCTTAAACATAACAACTGCTTTTCGCTTTACTTATAGTGGGGTACTTTTTCTTTCCTCGCATGCAAGCAGTTAGTGAGTTAACCCGGCCAAGTTGTTGCACGCTTTGACACTTCTCGTACAAAAGACTTCTGATGAAGAGTTTCTTAACCGTCACAAAGCCGTTTAACCAGTCATATTCTTGTCTGTAAAAAATTGTGAGTGCATTTAATATAAAAGAACACAAGGAGATAAAATGAAGCGATGATTGCTGCTAGTGCCGTCAGAGCAAAAAGTAGACTAAGAGAAAGAGAAAACAAGGACCTCGGTTAATGTCGTGGAACAGTGAACCCCCAGAAAGCGCAATCATGGGTTCGAAGCCTAACTGAGGTGCGAGTTTTGCTCATATCTCAGCATCCTTGTAGTTGTATTTCACGTAATACCCTGCCTTGAGATGAAGAATAGGTTGTAAACAGAAGTTGAAACAAGAAGATAAATCCTAAAGCATTAATCAACTATTGTTACATTTGCGGGCTCATTGCTGAAATAAAAGTGGATTTCGCCTATACCACCCTGATATCCATGGAGTGGACAACAAATAGTTCTATATTTTCGAAGGCGCCTCTATCAATGACGTTTTGTTGGTGCACTGAGATGGTGGTTTGGGATCTCGTTGGTGCTCTTGAGGAATGACCAGTTTTGCTCCAACAAAAGAACCATGATGTTACCGCAAACTGCCTAATGTGTTTGCAATAAAATTGCTAAGCAGTTATCCTGTTGTAAAATTGCTCTGCTATCCACTTTGCAGGTAATCTAATGAAACGTGTTTAATACATCTTTGAAAAAGACTTTTCGGAGTATTCAGCTAGAAATACGATGCAAGTGGAATACACTGAGAGAAACTGGTCTTCTGTTTTCTATAGAAGAATCATTCAAAAGTCTGACCAGAGTTTTCAAATATTTAAGCAAATACCAAAGTTAATTTTTGCTTTATTATCAATAGTTTTTTCATCGAATGTCCAATTTATTGGGGTAAACATTCTACCAAACATGATTTCCTATTTCTGAGTTTCTCGTAGTCTAGCTGGAGTAGAAGACTGGTAGCCCTTTATGAGTGTAAACGTACCGTTTTTCATTCATAGGTTAACCGCAAGGTTGTTGCCAAACATTTATTCCGCTGTCATTTTCACGTTTTTGTTTTTATCATAGTCGATGATCGGAGTCGATGGTCTGAAGAACATCCCCCTCGATGCGACGACGAAGACAGCATATCGAAAACATGAACGTCTGTGGACCATTGATTCTGATGAAGGTGAAGACGTCGAAACGTCAGCCGAATAAACGTTTGGTAACAAAGTGGTGCTAGCTCGTCAATGAAATATGGTACATTTGTCATTCATACTGAGGTTAAATGAAAGTTCGTTTACAATGATAAAGTTCGCGTATGAAGTACAAAGCACTTGACATCTCAGACTGGGTGTCTGTGGGCTCCCAGGCATTGATTTCCTTGTTTCCCTGTAGTTTTTTACTGCTTCTTCACATATTTCTCTACTTGTAACTTGCGCTATCTAACACGTTTAGTCTTCTATGACATTTTCTAGGACTCACGAATTTTCTGGAAGCATGTTAAACAGCATCTTGGCTGCTTTAAGATTTTTCCGAGAAAGTGGCTTTGAAGTTTCTCGAAAAGTAGGCAGTCATTAGGAAGAAGTGTAGTGGGTTTGTTGTGCGAGATTGGTTTCGTACCTACAAAATGCTGTCGTTGGTTGTACGGATGTTGTTATCAAACAGAATTCGGCCCTTTCAATAGATCAATGGATGCTCGTTCGCAAATGTTCCAGTTTTTAACAACGCATTTTTCGTCCACCGACGTTAGGATCTCGAAATGATTCAAAAAGTTTGAGCACGTGATTCCAACTCGTAATTGTGGCAGTAGTAGCGTCATAATCTTCTTTCGAAGAAAGACCAAGTGTTTCGGGATTTCGTTTTTGCCAGCCTAGCACAGAACGTCATCGGCTATCGCACATAATCTATTTTTACCCTACGCGATTAAGAAACTGCTGGTCCTTGTCGGTCGAAAGAAGGTGTGGATAGATACCCTATTAACTACTTTTTTATCCAATAACTTGTTTCTCTTAACTTTTCAATTTTTTGAAGCGTTCTTGTGTTAAACTGTTCTTGTGTTATTCCTAGCCCTTCCACAAGCTGTCTAGCCGATGCCCATGGTTATATTTCAGTTTCAGCACTTTAGTTTTTTAATGCTGAGGTCACTAAGGTGTTCGAGCAGACTGCATATCAGTTCGACCTTTCTAGGCTTAGAAGAAGGCGAAACGACCAAGACGTTGGCCACTGTTGAATAAATTTTCTCTTTTAATAACCCCAGGTCTGCTCAAAAGGAAAATACTAAGTTATTGAACAAAGTCGAGATTAATATAAAGTTGAATCTGTTCTATGTAGTGACTTGCGAAGCCTACCGATGTGTCAAATCAGCGCTGCTACAATTCCGCACAAACTTCCGACAAATTTGTCAACCTCGGATGGATGGAAGGCGTGGTCGGGTCGAGGCCCGGGACCAAACGTAAGACCACGTGTGCATTGCAAGGAATCTCCAACCAGTGCGCTTCCTGACACTGTTTAAATGTCTGAATTTGTACGAAATTCGTTGCTCGGGATTCTTCTGCCTTTGTTTTTATCTCAATGATCTAAACTGAGCACAAATCAACATGAAAAGAAGGCACAGATGTAGAATAAAATCTGCACCTCAGAATGTGATGCTGGATGGAAACAACGGCGTGAAATCTTTTTCAAAGAAGAGACGTGAAAATTTGGAAAGAAAAATCAGTCAAATCGAGGAGTGATTGCTGATAGCAGTGATCGGTAGAAAGTTAGCTGAGGGACAGCCGAAACGAAGGACCCGCATGGTGTGGTGGTGAACGCGTTACCCCCATGAAAGGATAATAGCGTGTTCGTTCCCACCTTAGACACCTGCTATCCGGAGTTTTGCAAATATCTCAGCATCATCTTGGTTGTATTTCACATGGTACCGTGACGTGAAAATTTATAGTAGGTAGTAAAGTTAAGAAAATCAGCGTTGTTTGCACGGCTACCTAATTTAATGGTCAATTTAGACTGCCTTTTGATTAAATAAACAAGTGCATCTGGAAAGCTATGCACTAAGTGTGGAAACAGACGAACCACATTTAAAATAGATTGGTAGCCCTCCTATATTTCTCGATATTAGAATGTTGTTGAAGAACACTGTTTATACATTCTTGTGATTTAATGCTGTAAATGGTTTTTTTTCTTTTCCCCTTTGCTAATAATTTTTTTTAATAACCCTTTTCCATGCTAATAATTTCGCGGTCGCTAAGTTTTACTTCATTACTTCGAGAAGAAAAGAGAACACATGTCACTTGTATTCGAGACGTTTAAATTTTCTCTCCATTGCACATTCAGGACTCCTTGATATAAGGAATAGGTGGTAAAGAATCCTTTTTCCTTTCTTCTACAGGGAAGTATTTTGGTAAAATTGCTAAACCAGAATTCCTCGTGACGCGTCTGGTGTAATGATCGGAGGCGCCCTGCGACACACCTGGGACCGATCCCCGCTCCCGTGGCTCACCAAACCTTCCATCTCTCCGGGATCGGAAAATTGCTACCAGACTTGTCTGGGAGGAGCAGCACTGGCTCGATACATCGGTAGGCCACCGTGAGTCATTGTGAGGGCCAGATAGGCATTCAATCACCTCCAAACGATGTTTAATGAAGTCGAATGCTTGGTGCATCCCTCAGGGATTGATCAATGCCGTGAGCTTTATCCTTTTATCCTTTATCCGAGTTCCTCATTATATCGTTTCTAGAAATTTCCTCCACTTATTTCCAATAATTCTGCTTGGTTTTTCACTATGTGGATAGGTCTATTATCGGTTGTTCATGGAAGAAAAAACATCTAAAGGACTTTTCCAGTTGATGGTCTTGTTTTCTTTTTTCTCCATAATATACATACTTTTCCTGGAAGTAACAGCGGCGTTTTTCCGAAGTGGTGCAGAAAAGCTTCTAAAGAAATTTCAAGAAAATGTCTAAGCAGCTTAATTTCTTGGATTGACTTTCAGTTGACCTCGGCATTGACAATTAATTTACTGCTCTTTTGATGAGCAACCACGACGTCATTGCTAAATCTAACAACTTAGCATTACAACCTTGTGTCGGTTAATCAAGAAAACACTAAATTACAGCTTAGTTTCTGCTCAACGATGCATGTATTTAGTATTTTTCCCCGTTTCTTTTGTGCTCTGATACTCTGAAAACCGATAATCGATGTCCTTTCAGGAAGAATGTCGTCTGAAATTCTCATCCGTCTCTCAACACTTGAAACACAACTGTTGCACACAAGCGAGAAGGTGAAAACGTTGTCGCTGTTTTTATGAAATATTTGACGCTTCTCATTATCCCTGTATTCTAATTCACTCAACCACGATCACGTTCTGGAGTAGGACTTCTTGCATGCCGAAGCCAAGCAATATCCAGTGCTGAGAGAGGACAACATAGACGAAAAGAATCATTTACATTATCACCATTCCCAGATGAGAATGTCGAAATCCTTCTGACTTTTTGTAATCTGACATCTGACAATGAAATACGTCGCAGTTCGACACGTTAGACCAGCTTTGCCACGCTAAGACAGTAAACCGTTGGGAGGGTCACAATTTTGAATGCACAGTGGCTTTAGTCAATATTCCATTCTTTCTTCCTCGATTATCTTATTCTAAGGTTAAAATGCGGGAAAACGTGATCGAACAGTTGGAGGAGGAGATACAGGCGAAGCAGCGCCTAATTTACGAACAAGACCACCTTATTCACATTTTGGAGCACGAGAATCGATGTGAGGAGGTGAAGGGTTCTCCGTTTTCAAACACTTCTGCTTTTTTTAGTTTGCAAATCTTCTACTGCTGAATATTCAAGCCAATAAGTTCTGTTTATTAAATTATATAGCTGCTATGAAAACTTTTCAGTAGTGCTTCCTGTCATTCGGACAATCATTTTTACGGCCTTTACAGACTTGTGCTTTGTGGAGTTCTTGTATTCTTCGCAAAAGTTTCCATCCAACAGGGTGATATTCTACTGGTAGATATCCGATCGCCTATGGGCGATTTCTCAACCGCCTCGACTGCAACGAACGTGCTTCAAGCTCTCGAATCAGAGTTTAAAGTGGCATTCATAAAAAAAGAACGAGGATTGTTAGCGCGCAACTGGACAATGCTTGAAAGCATCGATAGCAATGATCCTGTTCTCTCCATTATTTCTCACCCTCTTACCTTACTGAAGAGGTGACACCTCAATACCTAGAAGTGAAATATTTACTTCCAACACATTACACTCACTCATTCGTCTTATTAACTACAAGAACGATTGGCATGTCGCTCAGCTGCTTGAAAACTTCTACGGTTCCAGTTCTTAGCTCTTTTGTGCTGGACTTCTAGCGGCCACGTCGTGTTAAGCTCTTTCTTCTCTTTTCTTCCACATTCTTCTCACTCTGCCCTAAGTTTCATAGTGTTGGCAAAATAAAGTATATTCAGGGACTAACCGAAGGTGGTTACATAAAAAGTCAGCAATAGAAGAAATGGAAGTTCTAACTTTGTGAACCATCATTTGGTAAATCTAGTAAAACCTTGTGAACCGCATAGGTTTACTCAGACCCTCATATCATGTGATATCAGTTATTTTAATGATAAATTTTATTTGCCTGAAGCCTTTATAATAAGAGTCTTTAAAAATGCTTGTTTCTTTGTCTGTGCTTGCTATAGACGTTCATTGCAGCACTCTATGCAAAAAGAAGGCGAAGCATGTCAACGAATTCCCAGTGACCAGGTAGACTATCCGATTTTTTCCTAGTTGCAAAGCATTATAATACGGTATGTAATAGTAATTCTCAATATTTCATAGCAAGTAAGTTGTACAGGATTCGCTCACAAGTGACAGCGAGATTACGGTAATTGAAAGATTTATGACCTCAACTTCTCCATGTCACTCGAATTCTAATTGTAATGATCAATGTGATCGATTACGGGAACGTCTTGAACAGGTCAGTCGTTTTGGTCCTCATCGAATCAACCAACCGAATATAAAAGTCCTAATGTTAACTTTTTTTATTTACTGCCTATTACAATTTTTCACGGCAGGGTATTATTTGTGACTCAACCACAATGGTGCTGAGATATTTGCAAAACTCCGGACCGCAGGTGTCTATGGTGGGAAACGAACGCGCTATTATCCTTTCCTGGGGCTCAAGCGTTCACTACCACACCATGCGGGTCCTTCGTTTCGCCTGTCTCTCAGCTAGTTCTATCGATCAGTGCCATCAGCAATCACCCGACAACGGGATTGATCTGCGGAGCCCAGATCGGCAATGAACCCAGTTAAGCTGAGGCTTTAGTCTTAATCACAATATCAACTTTTTTATTTACTGCCTATTACAATTTTTCATGACAGAGTATTATGTTTGATTCAACCACAATGATGCTGAGATATTTACAAAACTCCAGACGGCATCGGATAAAAGTCTTAAATATAGTAAATATTCTATAAAAAAGAACAAGGAATACTGTGTCAGCATATCAGACGTGTGTATTGAGTAGTAGAGTACTGTTGCAATTCTCGAGGAACTGCTTTCCTGCAGCGTTTAATAGGCGGTGTACTCTGATCTCTGACAATCCAGAAACGTCGTAGGTAATCTTCCTGACCTGCAGCATCATGTTTTCAACAGAGGATTCAGATGCAAATGAGCGTGCGCTACAACACGGGCTGTCACCAAAGTCTGTTGAGAGTTAGATATCCTAGGAGGGCGCAGAAACACTAACAACTTCATTCTACCTAAGGTTTCCTCGTCAGAAGCTCTGATGGAGCAAGCCCTTTAATTTCACCGTCTTTGATGGTTTACGGCAAGCTTGACGACACATCACGTGTGGAGGTGAGTATACTCATGGCTAGCTTGCAGAGCTTTTTGTGATGGAGAGGCGGCTTGTTTTTTGAACGCAATTACCGGCCAAGTCCATCGTACTAGTACACCAATAATTTTATTGCAAGCTTTTGGACGAATTAGATTGTGAGACACACAGACGCATATTCGCAACCATATCTGCGATGGCATACACGGATGCTTGTATGCAAACAGATGGTGTATGTCAGCCCAGAAGATCAGAAGCGCGCGCAATTTGAATGCCGCCTTTGGTCCTTGTTGAACACAGTAGCCGCGATCTCGAAGCGCACCTGTAGCCTCGTGGTTCACCGGTTGGGTACTCGTAATTGAGAGAAATGTGCTTGTAAAGCACTATGGTACGTAAAATTGACAGATTAATGTTCACTTGACGTCTTGTAGACGATGTAAATGACTATATGGTTTACAGGCACTGGTCGAACGCGAAAAATTAGAGCTGCAGAATGAACAGTTGTTGAAGCAATGGGAAGAAGCCCTGGAATATGTGACGACGGTAAGGAATATTGTAGAAGTCCAGTGATGACTAGCTTGCATGTTATTTTTGGAAATGTTCTTCTTGGAGAATTTGGTAGACGGAACCGTTCTCAAATCATTTTTGTTCGTTTCTTTTCTGGTTTTTACTAAGCTATTCACTTTATTCCAGTTTATGCATATTAACTACTACTTTCATTTTGTTATGGTATACTTAATGGATAGGAAAAGGTTCTTAGTAATCTTGACTTTTTTGCAATATTATACGTTTATTATGTTTGAAGAGAGCGCGTGTGGCGCAGTGGTCGGAGGCGGCATGCAACGACACGAATCACACGGGGATCCATTCCCCACACGTGGAATCGATCCCCGTGTTCATGGCCCGCCAAACCTACCATCCCTCCATGATCGGCAAATTAGTACCAGACTTGTCTGGGAGGTTAGCACCACTGGCTCGATACATCGGTAGGCCACCACGAGTCATTGTAAAGGCCAGATATGCATTCAATCACCTCCAAACGATGCTTAATGAAGTCGAATGCATGGCGCATCCCTCGGGGATTGATCAATGCCGAGCTTTAAAGCTTTAGAGCGTTTATGCTTAAAGAAAGCTAATCCATGCTTCTTAAAATCATTTGTTGAAGTGAATAACTGAGTAGTATACAGATCTTTGCATTAGATGATGCTGTCTTTGGTCGCCCATGTAGCCATCGAAAACCGCTCTGAATAACGTTGGATGTCAAAATGTGAATCCACCGTCGAATATGACAAAACAGCTCGTGCCGAAGTGTGGCTCTTCCTCCGTGTAAAAGGAATAAGTAAAGCTTTTATTTCTTGGGATTATCTGGATCCTGTTGCTCTTACCGAGGAGAATTCCTACTACATGAACGAAGCTGGACCTAGAAACCCAAGTAAGAAGATTGTTTCCGGCTTTTGACAAAAAAATTGAAAGCTTTTTGCACTATGAGCTGTTCTTTTACTAGCATTAGCACAGTTACGGTCGTCGGCTGCTCTGTTAAAAACTTTAGACGTTGCACAATCTCGGTAGCGCAGCGGTTAGTGATGCAGTTCATTAGAAAGCAAGGTGCTGATTTTATCCCCTCAATGCTTCCCTCTAATCAAAGTGGGAACGCCTTAGCCCATCTATCTCCAAAATTGCAAGGTGAATCGACTCGACCAGCATTCTGAGGCATTCATAAAGAAGACGAAGTTCTGAACCAGCAGTCGAAACAACACGCGAAATATTCGAAGACCATTGTGGACAACGAATGCGAGGAAAACAAATGGAATGGAAGGAGTGCGTGCTGGTATCTGCGTAATAGATGTGATGGTTGGTCATGTAAAATAGAATAAATAGAAAGCTATCGTCTATTTGGAGCGGATTGAGAAGCTCTTTCCTTTGCTGAATATTTCCCGAGCTTCCCATCTTCTGAATACGGTTGTTTTCCGAAGAGCAGGGATCACCTTCAAAAGTTCATCAACTACCAAGTAGAATTCAAAAATTGCAACGAATATTTGTTCGCGTTAAGTCTCGAATACAGCACTACATGACTTTGACGAACATAAGTAGAAACAGTGTTTGTTTTGTTTCGCTGGAGTTACAACTCAGTAAAGTTGTAAACATTGTGAGAAATTTGCACAGAGTCGCGGAACCTTCTTTGCAAGGTTAAATTTCTAATTTTTTCACCTCTTCTCATCTGGATGTTTTTCTGTATCGTCTTCTCATCTGAGCTATATGCCCATTCAGGGGATTATTGTTCTGGCGATGTTTGAAGCATGGTTATCTATTTGTTGATTAGTAGCATCAGCGCAAGGGCTTGCAAGCACTAAATGCAACACAAAAACCTTTTCTGTTGGTGGTGCTCAACATCTGGTAAGCAAGAGAGACCTGACGCATGCCGGGAACGGTTTCTTGAAAAAGAAAACATGTTTATGAACTCCGCCATATGTAAGCACGTTAAAGCCTGTGCTAAAAACCGTGTAGCACAGCCAGCTAGAGGAACAGGGCGCTAATAATCAGAAAAATCGCTTCCGCTTCCGTTCCGACGGCAAACTGACTGAATTTATCGGTGCCTATTGCAAATGACAACTTCGCCCTCACCGACTCATCTTCCTCCTGGGACAGTTTCACCATTTTACAATTTTTAAAACTTTCTTTTTCGAGTTGTTTTCCTTTCATATCGACTTTAAGTTTGACTGATGCCCAATAGGTTGTTTGTTAAATATTTTTTAACTCATTACTTACTGCCTACTCCTTTTAATGGCAGGGCATATTGCAAAACATGACTTCAGTGATGCTGAGATATCTGCAAAACTCCGGACCGCAAGTGTCTGCGGCGGGGAACGAACACGTTCACCATCACACTATGCGGGTGCTTCGTTTTGCCTGTCTCTCAGCTAGTTCTATCGATCTCTGCCATCAGCAATCACCTGTGCCCAGATCAATCCCGCCGACGTGTTACTCCTCGGAAAGGACAATAGCTCGTTCGTTCCCCACCACAGACACCTGCGGTCCGGAGTTTTGCAAATGTCTCAGCATTATTAAAGTTATGTCTGTTAAATACTTATGCTGTTTCATATTTTTATATTTTTATACACACCGTAACTTGATTCGTTCCTACCGATATTTACTGAAGTCGTTCTTTCTCCTTCCAAGCTTACATCAATCAAACAGATGTTGGAAAAATTGGCGTTATATAGCTTGATTTCGCTATTGTATAGTCAAATTATAAACATCGGTACTGAAGATGCTACTACCTTTGAAATTTTTCTATCTCGGGTTTTTCATTAGTAGAATTCTTGTTCCCATTCACTTTTGTGCGTATTGGGCTTTAATAGAAGCTCAATTTAAAAGTCCCTTACGGTTCATTCATTGGACGCAGTAGTTTACCGTTTATTACGTGGAAAGGTCAACCTACCCACCCTTTGTATCAATACCGCTTAGGACCCACCAAACCTCGTATCTGCTCAGGATCAGAACGTTACGACCAACTCACTTCTTCTAATTACGTGTCTGGCCCACTTTATCTTCGACAATTTGTAGTATAGAACATCATCCTTGATTTTTGATTGCCAACGTATATAGGGGTTTCGGATCCCTTCTCTAAATGATGACATGGGATACTTCTAGCATAATCCTTTTCACTGTGAATTCTATAAGGCTGAACAATCTTTCATCCTGCTTACACAGCGAACAGGTTTCTGATGCATACGTTAAGGCAGGAAGTAACGTTGAGTCAAAGGATGGGCACGGGGTGGGCTATTCTTTGTTCTCATGAATACATCCTCTATACTCTTGAAAGCACTAAGCTGTTCATCATGTTAATTTCGCGACCAAGATAGGCGTAACTGGAGCATGGGGCATGCGTAACCAATCCATTCTTCATAGGCATCGTTCTCATGAGATTTAATCGAAGACCAATCCTTCTACAGGCTTTATCAAAGTCGGCAAGCATTCGTTCCGCTTAGCCAATGTTTGGTGTTATAAAAACGATGTCATCAGCAAAGCGAAGATGGTGTAATTGCCGACCATCGATTTTCACTCCCATATTATCCCATCCGAATGTTCGCAAAATGTGCTCGAGGGTGGCGGTAAATAATTTTGGCAAGATGGTGTCGCCTTGCGTAACCCGCTTTTGACGTCAGTGTAAGTATCGTTGCAGAATGGTGATGTGTTGGTTGTGAAATTTTTATATAGTTCACAAAGAATTTTTATATACTGAGAAGGGTCTCCTTGGCTGTCCAGGGCTTCCGGGACTGCTTCTATTTCAGTTGAGTCAAAAGTTCTCTTTAATTCGATGAAACTAAAACGCAACAGTTTCTTGTGTTCTCGCGATACTTCATTGCGTTCTCATGGATGTATTCCACATCGTAGTCAATCGTTTTCAAAGCTCTGCTTGCTCACTTGGCTGTCCTTTATCCAGTGTTTTCTCAATCTTTTTTAGGGTGACTCCAGCGAGAAGTTTTTAGACGACATACAGTAAGCACATTATTGTGATCATCGATATTGCGGTGTACTTCCTTACTCACCTCCCTCTGATCCACATCGTGGTGAAGACCTGGATACGCCCTTACAAGGTTACCTCAGGACTCCAGGGAGGACCAAGCTTCACAACCAACAATAGGCCCGCCTCAGTACCCCACAGAGGCCAGAAAATCTCGGGTTACGCAGGATGTCATTGGAACCGGATCTGACGAACACACGCACGACACGCCATGGAGATTGTTTCCTATTATGCACGTATAATGCCAGAACACTCTCCGCAGACGTCGATCTTCACGCCCTTCTTGTAGCCGTAGATCGCATTGAATTTCATGTTATCGCATTACAAGAAACAAAAATCAAGAAGACCGACATACGCCAGCTAAACAACGGGATCCTTGTGATCCGTGGAGAAAAGGTCCCGTCACGAAATGTCGGTGGCGTAGGCTTTGTCGTCCACCCGTCCATTGTCCATCTCGTCGACTCATACGTGATCCTTTCCCCTCGCATAGCTGTCCTCCGTCTTCAACTGTCGCATCATAAGAAGATCACTATCATCAACTGCTACTCACCGATCGACGCAGCTGATGAGTGCGAATTAAATATGTTCTACTATCAGTTGGAGGAAGTCATCCGCAATGAGAAAGCATATCATAAATTTGTTGTTGGAGTCGTCAACGCAAAAAAAAACGCCAGAATAGGAAAGGCCAACGAGAGCGAATACAGGACCGGAAATTTTGGTTTAGGAGAAAGAAATGAGAATGTGAGTCGTCTCGCAGGACTCCTTTCAGCAGCGCGTCTCTTCCATGGAAATCGTTTTTCCAGAAGAAGGAAAGCCGCTACTGGACATGGGAGTCTCTCAACGGCATAACTCATGCGGAGATTGACCATATTCTGAGAAACAGAAGATGGTGCCTACTTGACACGCCGGTAGTCCCGTCATTCTGTACTGGTTGCGACCACCGCTTTCTTTGCGCGAAGATTCGATTCGATTACCACGAGGAAAAAGTTTAGCTGTATACAATGAGAACATTCTGAACGAAGTCCTGTCCAAATGTGACTGGTAGATTAAAGAAGACCCGACCGAAGACTACGAGCTGCTTGTCGAAGGACTGAAGACCTGTGCCGAATTCGCCTCAGTTCCTCAAGCAAGAAGATCGGATCGCATTTCTATCACTACTAAGGAGTTGCTCGAAAAGGGAGGGAAGAAGCTTGATCCTACTGCAACACGTGTAATAAATCCCAGTTGCAGAAGAGCTTTGCAGGAAGATCTACAACGGTACAAGCAGAGGAAAATACTGGAAGGAGCGGTGTAAAGAAGCAGTCTGAAAAAATGCCATCGGGACTTGTGTGATTATAATGTTCCGCTGTCAGCCCTGATGAACGAAGATGGGATCGTCAAAACTTCTCTCCATGATATGGTTTTCCGTTCCACAATCCCTGTCCCGGGCCCTAATGTCCTCGCTGGAGAAAAACCACCTGGAATTCTTTCGTCGGAAGTTCGAGTTGCGATAGAAAGTATGAAAAGAGGAACAGCTCCAGGACTCGATAATATCACTGCCGATTTGCTTAGGCCACAATTTACATGTACTTCTTGCAGATTATATGACAGGCTACCGTCAAAAGGAAAAAATCCCAGACCAACGGAGGACGTCACGCGCGGTCGTCCTGCCCAAGAAAGGAGACCGAAGGGATCTTTATAGTTATCGTCCCATATGTTTGTTAAGTGTACTCTACAAGCTTTTCACGAAGATTATTCTCTCACGCATATCAAGGACACTGAATGAGGCGCGACCAGTAGAGCAAGCAGGATTTCGAAAAGGATTTTGCTGCGTGGACCACATCCAAACTGTGTCCAGGCTCATCGAAGTTTGTCGGGAATACCACTTGCCTTTAGTCCTAACCTTTGTCGACTATGGGAAAGCGTTTGACAGTGTCAAAACGAATGCAATCCTATCAGCGCTCATCGACCAAGGAGTGGATACGTCCTACATAAAGACTCTGTGTCCGACTGTTATCGGAACTGCACTACGAAAACACAGCTTTTCGACCGACCTCTTACAATACCCATAGGGAAAGGGGTTCGACAGGGCGACACAATATCGCCAAAACTGTTCAGTGCCACACTGCAGTGGATAATGAAGTCACTCGATTGGTATGAGAAAGGCATACATGTTGATGGAAAATTCTTATCAAAACTTCATTTTGCCAACGAGTCATCTCAAGAAGAACTAGCGAAGCAGAGGTGGTGATCAACGAGCTCAACGAAGCGGGGAAAAAGATCGGACTTCGCATAAATCGAAAGAAGACCCAGTTCATGAAAAACCCATGGTGCGAAGGCGAAAAAATTGGATTGGATGGCCCTCTCATTGCAGAGACCATCTAGTACGTTTACCTTGGGCGATCAATTAACATGGAAACAACATGAAGGAGGATTTAGATAGAAGAAGGAGAGCAGCTTAGGCCGCATTCTGAAGGACCCGAAAATCCGCGCTCATCTCTTTGATTCTACGGTCCTCCCAGCGCTCTGTTATGCTGCAGAGACGTGAATTGACACTTCAACTACGTCAAGAAAGCTTCGAATTACTCACAGAGCGCTTGAGCGATGTCTTCTGAAATACAACCGGCACTCTCAATATATAACCCGAATGCGAAGCTCTAACCTTCGAAATCTGTCACACCTTTGAGATCCAGAAGAATAATACATTGACAGCGAAACATAGATGGGCCGGTTACATAATGAGAAGAACAAACGACGGATGGACGAAAAGAACAGTGGAGTGGACTCCAAGAGAATTAAAACGTCCCCTTAGACGACCACCCACACGTTGAGCGGATGTGTTCGTAAACAAAGTTAATCAGCTGTACCCACAGCTGCAGTAGTTTTACAGATCACGGTATGAAACTCGCAAGCGCTGCCATGCTCGAACAAGACCAACACCATGGACTACGATTGCGAGGGAAAAGAACGAATGGCATATGTGCTGGGGTCCGCACAGCTCGTGAAGACGGACCGTCCAAGTATCCAGGTAAGTAGATATTGTGGTAGGCGATAGTTGCCGACATCTTAAAGGTCACCCTTCTTGAACAATAGCACGGTTTTGCTGGTCTTCCACTGACTAGGAAACTTGTATTCTGACAGGTAACGTGTGAAGAACCGAGCCAGTGTGTTTATGCGGACTGGTGGAAGGTTCTTGAGGTGTTCAGATCGCATCCAGTCCGGATCTGGTGTTATTCGATTCTTCACCTACGAAAAATGGCGGATTTAGGAAGGGAGAACCGATGGTGCGACATATCCATCTTCCTTTATTTCATGTAAGAGAAGGAGGACATGAAGGGATCTGACTAGTATTCGTAAGTGATCTTCATTTCTGGATACTTTCTGGACGCTGCAACTGTTCCGTCTGGGGCCGGAGTGCAACTATCTTGGACTTGCAATTGGCGAAGCTTCGGCGGGCTTTGCAAATGCTTTTTCCAGCCTCTGAAGCTTCGACCATTACTACTGCTCTTCTCTTTTTAAGATCTTCTTTTATCGCCTGTCTTCATTGTTTTGCAAGTTCGGACGTTAGTTCGCGGTTGCCTGCAATTCGTGCGATTCCAACTGGCGTATCAGCTCGAGTGTTTCTGGAGACAGACGTCTCTTGGTGACTTTCGAACTCTGAGCTTTCATAGGACTTACGTGAAGATATAGAATGAGCCAATAGTATTTCTCATCGATGTTATCGAGAACGACACCTCTCAGTGACAGTCTAATGAACTGAATAAATCCCAGTTTATGGTGGTTTTGTGGCCATTTTTCGAATTTAGCAGCTCCAACTGAGACCGGTTAACTAAAACCTTCGATTTCATATGATATGGTCTATTTCGTTATTGCACTCTCCATTAGGACACTCCCATGTCCAATGTTGAGAGTGGTGCTTCCGGAATTGCGAATTACCATGTATAGTCTTGGTCGTCATGATAAACGCAGACGGCCGCTGAACCTGCTCGTTCGATTCTATTCCGTGGTCCAATAAACGACGGTCTTCAAACGTTCCTTTGGGTCCACTCTTAGCGTTAAAATATGGGATAATGACCCTAAAGAATAGTCTTCGCTATAGAACTTCTCCAAGTTGGTATAGAACGCTTCGATTTCGTTTTCGTCATAGCTTGATGTCGGTGCGTAAACAATAAAGACTGTCAAAGGGGGTATTGATCCATATCTCTTCGATTGTAGACGTCCTATTTGGGTTATTAGCTGTTCGAGTGAATCGATATTCATTGCCAAACTCATGCTGTCGAGAATGCCGACACCGCCGACTCTTGCATGTTCCGAGAAACAGTTCTTCTCCGGGGGTCACGCACGGTGTTCAACGAGTAGCGTTTTCTCGTCCAGGCCAGGCCGATGACGTCGTATCTTATCCTTCTTGCCTGCATGATCAAGTCTGTCGAGGACTCAGACGCAGATATGCGCTCTTTTTAGGTACAGGTCGTCGCCACGGTCCTTTGCGGTTTAGGTACGACAGCACAGTGCGAAGAAATGAATCTTATGCATGAGATGGTGGGATCCGCACCACGTGTTGCGTCTGGTTATGTAAAAAGAATTTCATCAGCTATTCATAAACATCGATAATTCACAGCGATGCCTTAGTCTGAGAGCTTTCCGTATTGAATGTGACCTAGCGTGACAGTCCAAGTCCTACTGTACCGTAAAGGTTTCAAATCGCCTGCATAGCGTCACGTAAGAATTGCAGCATCCGCCCTAAGTATGTCTTCTTTGCACAGATTATTTTTGAAACGAATATCTGCTAAGTCCATTTTATTGGTATTTGTTTGAGTTTATTATTGTAATAATCAATATTGCTTCCAATTTGATATCTTATCGAGGCACTTAAAACATTTGGAAAGTCCGCGTTTTTTCCTTCTGCTTCAAAGCAAGGCTACCGCATTGTAACCACTGCTACGTTCAGGTTCAAAAACAACTTCAGGAGGAGATTCGACGGAACAATGAGCTGAAGAACGCTCAGATCGAAATGGAGAGAAGCCGATGGGATTCGATTACAATCTCAAGAAGCACACTGAATTTCGTGGCAGTGTTTGCCTTGCTCATCGCATTTTATTTATATCGAATCTAGCACAGAAGCGTTCCTCACACGAGTACACTTCCTTCCGGATCCCAAAGACAAGAACAACTTGTCGTAGTTAGGACCTGAAGAAGAGAGAATTCGATTGTTTTGCTTTATTCCTTCTTTCACTTCTTGTACAGTTGTTTTTTATTGCTACAAAGTGTACATTTTAGTTTTTTCTTTAATGAGTCACTAGTCAAGTTAATGGTACCCATTTGGTGCACAAAGCACTTATCTGCAATTCGTCAGTGATCCAAGTCTATCCAGGATTACACGTCCTAGGTATTCCCCACTTCTTCTTTATTTAATAAATGGTTTCGTAAAAGCAAATAAAAATACTTTTGCTACCAATTGATGTGAACTCTCGAAGTGGCCAACATCTCGTTTCGATCATTCGCTTGTCTTTAAATTATTGGACTACCGACTTTTTACGCTTAATTTCGGATGCACATATCTCATATTGCTCCAAAAGAACAGTGGTCGGAGGTGCCCTACAATACATATAGAATCGATCGCAGCGCCTAAGGCTCACCAACCCTTCCATCTCTCCGGGGTCGGCAAATTGGTACCAGACTTGTCTGGGAGGATAGCAGCACTGGCTCGATATATCGGTAGTCCACCGCGAGTCATTGTGAAGGCTAGATATGCATTCAGTCGCCTCCAACAATTCATAACGAAGTCGAATGCATGACGCTTCCTTCAGGGATTGATCAACGCCGAGAGCTCTATCCTTCTTTCTATTCTGTCATGGTGCTGTTCCAGACTGTACGAGTTTTTAGAGCACATTTCAGCAATAGGCTAGCTGTTGAGTGCTATACCTGTACATGGACGAAGAATTACAGAATTTCTAATTCATAGAGCAAATACGTGTCAATGGTATAGGTTGTGTAAGTTCTTTCCTACGAATTACGGCTGAGAATAAAGCGTTCGGCGTTGGTCAAGCCTTGAGCGATGAGCCAAGGATTCCAATACTTCAGGCATCGTGAAGAGGTGATTTAGCGTGTTCTTGGCCTAAACGGTAACTTCGTGGGCGTTGGTGAGCTTAAGTGCTGGGCTGAACCAAAGACCATGTTTGCACTTCAGGCTAGCTCTTCTCGCCATGTTTAGTGCATTATCTTAACGAATTAAGTAAATCACACGTATTACTCATTGCAAGCGCATGTCGTAATATACCGGTTAGATCTACAGGTCTTCTTCGCGAGAATAATATCGAGCCTTTTAGTTAGCAGATGATATGGGTCGTCTCAGGTGGAGAATAGAAGTACGAGGGTGAGTGAAGGGCTTAGGTATTGCCTGACACACTACTTTACCTCATCGCGCCGAATTTGTTTTCTACATTTATTGTAGGGGACCGACTTTGTTACCATGTTTGTTTTAATTTCGTTGTCGTACCTGGCGTCTACTCCACCACCTCCGGCTGCAGAACATGTCTTAGATCTAAACTGCAGTTGAAACGAATGAGGCAAACGCAATTGATGTGATCCTTCAGATTTTTTAGTGTGAACAATCTGACACACCATATTTAGAGTTCATTTACTTATTATTTATTAGAACAACATCCTGACAAATAAAAACAAAGTAGAAGGAACAAGTCACTATCATCAGAACAAGACCTTAACAGTATGTTACATCTATAGTTTTGTTTTGCACTTCTTCCTTACTGGAATGTCAGATCAGGGAGGAAATTTCTGATGAAGACCGTTGATACCGACGCCATCCGTCTCAGTACAACTCATTGCCAGGTATGTCGAACTTGGTCGTGAAGGCTTCGACTTTCTGCAAATGATTACCCAATTTTGAAAATTGGTTTCAAAAATTCATGAAATACATTGTTCAAAATGATAATAGAAGGAAATGGAAACTACCATGTTTAATTCCAAAAGTTTGACAACTTTGGTACAACTATTGACGGTGACAGAGATTTTCCGTCGACGTCTTTAAATCGCTGATGAATCAATCGATCGCTGGATCGCCTATGGTATCCTACTTTCGTCATTTTTACTTGAAAAGATCACAAAAAGGACAACCTCGTGTTGCCCGAGACACTGCTGCAACACAAGGCTCTTCAAAGGAACGATGTGATTGAAGATGGTATGAGAACAGTGTAGTTAATGAATCTACTCAGTTCGCTAAGGTCCTCGAATGTGGACGTGAGGTCCAGCCTAGTTCTTGGGCGCATGTCGAGGTTGGAGTTCTCAGTGGAAGATACAATAACCTTGGATTTATATTGGTGATTTATTTAGGTAGAGTAGTAAAACTTCCCTACTACTAGGAGTAACGATTCAATGAGATTTTTTGAATAAAGTACGTTGACACGCATTTTTCTCACAACCGTCAAAATAAAAAACTGAAATCGATTTCCAGTTATCCGTCATACCTTGAGATTGGGAACATCTATACGTGCTACGTCAAACCATATAAAAATATTGAACATACCAATTTAAATGTCTTAAAATAAACCAGTCTGTGCGTTTCAATTGAACATTTCTGCTGATTTACCTAGACCCAACTGTTGCAGTAACGAGTAACCTGTTTTGTTCAGCCACAGAAAGGCTCAGGAGATAGGAGAAATTTCAATCTCGAAAGCTGTATACCATAGCAATTTCACCTAGCCATGAGGTAGAGCAATGTTTATATATCACAGATAATCTCCACTATGTTACTACTAACTGTGTGCATTGCAGAACTAGTTTTCACCAGATTTTCATGTAGTACCAATGTAAAGTACTACCTCTAGCTTACTTCTATCCAACTATAAGTGCAACTACACGGTATACCGACAGAAAAACTAGTACAGTAGGCCTTTTCAGTGAACAACATCCGTGGAATACCAATAAAATAAACGAAAATAAACTCAGAGTGCCATAAACAAGAGGTCGGGAGTTCTCACGTTAGCTAATTCATCGACGTCTTTCAGGAAATCCTTGTTGGTCTCAGTGAATGTTTTGAAGTCTTTCGTCGTCTTGCCAGCTTGGCCTTGATACTTCAACAGAATTTGAAGAGCTAGAACAAATCCTATTCTTAGTGATGGAATATTAGCTATGAATAAAAGGAATGCAGCCGAATACCTTCGTCAATGAATATTGCGACTTGCTCAAAATCCTTCTCGGTGAAGCCCCTGGAAGTCAGAGCAGGAGTTCCTAGACGAATTCCTCCCGGACGTAAGGCTGAAACGTCCCCGGGACATGTGTTCTTGTTGCACGCAATATGGACCATATCTAGTACGTGTTCCGCTTTAGCTCCTTCAATTCCTTTCGGTCTCAGATCGACAAGACACAGATGGTTGTCTGTTCCACCTGAAATGCAAACATATTCGACCATGTAATTCCTTTTTCGCAGTGGTAAGGAAGACAAATAGAAGACAATAAGCACTATTTCCATCGCCATAGATTTCGTGACACATTTCCTTTTCTACTTACTGGAATGGTATAAACTTCTTCATGCGTCTTATTCACAGTTTCGTAAACGGATTACTATAAAGCCAAGAAGTTAAGGAGAGGCGGAAAGAAATACCTGTGGCGATTGTGTAGCCTAGTTCGATCAGCTTAGTAGATAGCGCATGAGCGTTTAACAGTATCTGCTTAGCGTACTTCACAAATTCCTCACTTAAACACTGCTTGAGCGCAACAGCGATAGCTTAACGAAGAAAAGATAAATGAAGCAAAGTATCAGGTTCCTTTGATCTTATACAGTGTAATGGTTTACCGCTTCATCGTGGCTGGGAGGTGTTTATGGGTGTCGGGCTGCGATGTACAGGGAGGGGATTCGTGCCCCCAGTAGGGTCTCCCAAGCTGAGAAGGAGTCCTGCGTTTCCATCAGGAAGCCTAGCTAAGAGTAAACCAATACCAGGATCCACCACCGTCCTGGTATCAAAGTCGCATGGTGGCAAATCTCCCTCTGATCCACAAGGGCTGCGACTGCTTGTAGTAGTGAAGATCTGGGCAAACTTTGGCCAGGTTGAGCTCGGGATTCCAGGGAACCACAATGGTTTAAACAGCAAATTTCCGAAAGGAGGTTATGCTGGAGTCCGCACAACTAATGACGACGAGTATCAAGTACGAGTACCATTCGAGTATCAAGTATCAAGTATAGGTGTAAGCTTAGTACTTACACGTAACCTTTTTCTAAATCAGTAGATTGGTTTCGCTTAAGAAGAAGGAGAAATGTGCGAAAATTCACTAAAATGTTTCCCATATGTGTTTCGACAACATCTTTTCAACTCAAAAATATATTCGATTCGAAATTGCCACCTAATGTATGTAGACTAAGCAACAAATGTTACTTTTTGTATTTAGTAGGAGGTGAGGAAATATAAACCTGTGATGGTGTGATTGTGAGGGCCGCCTTGAAGTCCAGGAAATACCGCTGCTGCAATCTTCTCTCCGATATCGTACATAATCTTCTCACCTTTGGCACTCGTTGATCGAACACCTGAACGAGATTTTGGGAGGATCGATAAAGTCATAGAGGATGACTCCATAACCGCACACCTTTCCTGAAGAAAATAAGCGCTCCTCGAGGTCCGCGAAGGGATTTATGCGTGGTGGTTGTTACCACATCGGCGTATTCGAAGGGAGACGGAATTAGTCCAGCAGCAACGAGACCAGAGATATGTGCCATATCAGCCATTAGGTATGCCCCACACTAAGATCGAAGTATAATTGACTGGGAAATCCTTGTTAAATACTTAAATAACATTGCATAAGGTTAGCAATAACATGGGAGGAAACCCTTATTTCCCTTGTTTGTCATAGTGTTCGTTTCGTTCTCAAAAATGTCATGAACTTATGATTCCTTTCGAGTCCCAGCTGCTTATCTTCCATACTAGTTACTTATGAACTTCAAAAAATTCCTATGCCTGGCATTCTCTTAAGCAATAGGAAAGAATGAGGGATATTCATACATAACAATTTTTCTTTACTGTATTTTCGGTTCAAGCAGAGACTGAGGTGTCTTACTTTATTGGCGATACTTCGAAATCGAGCGTAGTCCAAATGGCGGGCATAGCACGAAATCCCTGAAACACTGCTTTAATAGCAAATTTCGACAGAAGACTCCGTCACTGATGTCACCTGCGATCAGAACTTTCGGTCTAAAAAGCATCGCGTTCTCCTCTATTCGATCATAGTCAATCAAACCAGTCTTCGCATCCACCTGAAAGTTCAATGTAATGTCACAGGACCAATTAGAACGCTAATTTCACGAGAATGAAAGAGGTTTTTTCTTCGCGACTTATTAAGCTCTCCGTTACATTGTCTGTTTCTATAGTCACACAAGACTGACCTAGAACTGTTACACCTGGCAATCGCCCAGAATCGTAATCACATAGCGATACAACTGGAAACCACGATTGTAGAATAGTCAATATTTAAGGTAAAGGGTGTACCTTATATGGCATCGACTGGAAGAAAATCGAAGTTGCCGACACTTTTCTCGCAGGAGTAAAAAAGCTAAACAATGGAAGAACCTATTAAAGTACGCCAGAAATAGTAGTGAAAGAGCTAACTAGTGAAAGAATCTACTGAAGTACGTCAAAAACTATTTTTAAAAAACCTGACCCATGGGAAAGGTGACCACCGTCTGGAAGATCGAGTCCCATAATACGCCCATTCGGTTCAACTAAAGCCGTGTAGACTGCGAAATTCGCCGGAGATCCGGAAAGGGGCTGCACATTAACGCCCCAAAGTTCTGGGTCTAAACCGAAAACCTAAACATTTTAGGCTTTCTTTAGACATAGAGTCGTAGCCAAAACTTCTAATAATTGACAAACATTACTTCAAGTGCCCTCTTTTGACAAAGTAGTTCCATTTGATCAATAAATTCGTTACCACCGTAGTACCTGAAGCACAGAATCTGAAGCTGAACGATGAAAGTGAAGGCTTAAGCAAAAACTTATGGTGCAAACAAAATGAATATTTACCAATAAAATATATTTGACATCAGCACATTTATGACACTAGCATTTAACTTGATGAACATTTTTTTTCAAATTTTGTTTTATGCGACCCCCTTTCACATCTGCTGTGTGGATAGCAGCACTTGTTACATTCGATTCGTTTCCTCGCATCCATTATCCACGAATGCCTTCCAACTTTTTACCTGTGGCTTCGGCTTCTGTCTGAGGAATGTCCTCTCATCATGAATGTCGTTGAGTGCCCGTCGAATCAATTTTCCCTGTAATCCTAAGATAGGCGGAATTGAGCGTTCCCTTTTAGACTGCAGAGAGTGATTTTTTCGAAGCAGCACCGTGCTCGTGATGATCGACATCACTATCACAGTGCTATCCGCACCCTGATGAACATTATTACCAATAATTTTTGACACGACTGAACGCGTCCGCATTTAATTCGTGGCCGAGTAGAAACTACATTTAATTTCCTACCAGCATATTGTGAATAACATACGACAATGTTTCACTTTTTATTTACTGCCTACTATTCTTTCTGGTAGGGTGTTATTTGAACTACAAGCACAATGAGACAGAGACTCAGCCACCGGTACAGCTTCGAACCCGCGATTACCCTTACTTCTTACCGTATGTATATACATATATATATATATATTTATATAAATACATATATACACATACGTACACATATATACCCGATACTCGATACTTGAATGGCCCGTCCTCACTGGTTGTGCGGGCGTCAGCATAATCTCCACTTTTCGGAGATTTGCTGGTTAAGCCATTATGGTTCCCTGAAGTCCCGAGTTCAGCCTGGCCAAAGTCCACCATGAGACTTTGATACTAGGACGGTGGTGGATCCTGGTATTGGTTTACTCTCAGCTAAGTTTCCTGATGGAAACGCCGAACTCCTTCTTAGCTTGGGAGACCCTGCCAGAGGATGAATCCTCCGCTGTACATCGCAGTCCCACACCCAGGAACCCCTCCCAGCCACGATGAGGCGGTAAACCGCTGGACCCTAGTGGGTTATCGTATACATATATAATATATGTATATAACACAAACATATTATATAAGTCACGTACACAATATTATGTATATGACTTATATATTGTATACCCTCAAACAGAAGATCAGATCCCATCTCTATTATCACTAATGAGTTCCCCGAGCAAAGAAGGAAACCGAAGCTTGGTCCTACTGCAAAACCCTTATCACGGCTACCAATGCCTGTTCCAGAAGAGCTTACAGGAAGATCTATATCAGTACAGGCAAAAGAAACTGTTGGAAGCAGCACACAAAAGAATCAGTCTGAAAATTACCTACGGAACTTGCGTGAGTATAATGTACCGGTGTCACCATTAATGAACGAGGATAAGATTATTAAACACTCCCGCTACGATATGGAATTAATAACGAAAAAATTCTTCAACAAATTTTACTGTTACACAATTCCCATTTAAGACTCTAAATTTCTCACTGGAGAAAAACCACCAGAAATTCTTCCCTCTAAGGTTTGAGTTGGATAAAAAAGGATAAAATAAAGCTCTCGGCGTTGATCAATGCCTGAGGTATGTGCCATTCATTCTACTTCATTAACCATTGTTGGAGATGAATGAATGCATATCTGGCCTATACAATAACTAGCAGTGTCCCACCAATGTATTGAATCAGTGCGGCTATCCTCCGAGACAGGTCTGGTACCAACTTGCCGGTTTCGGACGGAAGGAAGGCTTGGGGAACCGGGGCGAATAGTGGAACCCATATGTTCTGCAGGGCAGCTCTAACCAGCTACATGAACGAGTTGTGATAGAAAACGAATGAATGTAGAACTCCCTGTTCCGATAATGTCAGCGCCGACTTAGAGCTGGAAGCCACAGTTTACATCCACTTCTCACAGACCATGACACCCTGCCTTCAAAAGGAAAAAAGTCCCAAACGATTGGAGGACGTCGCGCACGGTCATGTTGCCCAAAAAACGTTACCGAAGGGATCCTCACAACTATCCTCCGACATTCTTGTTTAGCACACTATATAGGCTCTTTATGGAATTATTCTGCCGCGGGTATCAAAGACAATGGATGAGATGCAACCACTTGAGCAAGCAGAAATTTGACACTAATTTTTTACATGGACCACATCCAAACTATGTCCAAGGTCATTGAAGTTCGTCAGTAATATCACTTCACTTACGCCTGACTTTTTTTCGGCTATGAAAAAGCGTTCGACTCTCTCAAAATGAATGTACTCCTATAAGCGCTCGTCAACCAAGGAGTGGACCTGTCTCACATAAGCACTCTGTCGGACTGTTATTGGAACTCTACTGTGAAAATACAGCTTTTCCATCGATCTTTTACCATAGCTATACAAAAAGGGGTTCAACAAAGCGATACAATATCGCCAAAAGTGTTTAGTGATGTACTGCAATGGATAATGAAGTTATTTGAATGGGACGACAAAGGCATACGTGCCGAATTGAAATTCCTTTAAAATTCACGTTTCGCCAACAACGTCGTCATTCTCTCAAGAAGTAGGCGATGATCAATGTGCTCAACGAAGTGGGAAAAAATGGAACTATGCATAGATCGGAAGAAGACCTAGCTCATGAAAAACTCAAAGTATGAAGGCGATCACATCAAACTGGATAGTTCTCCGATTGCACAGACCACATCATACGTATATCATAGGCGATCACGAACACGGAGAACAACACGAAGGAGGAACTAGACAGAAGAAGGACAGCAACTTGGGCCACATTAGGGTTTCTCAAAAAAGCCACCGACTAACTAAAGAATCAGAAAAAATACGCTCACCTTTTCGATTCAATGGTCCTCCCAGCGCTTCGCTATGCTGCAGAGACGTGGGCTAATATTTCAACCACGTCAAGAATACTACGCACTACTCATTCGTTTGAACGGTGTCTTATGAACTATAATCGGCCCATACAATATCTAGCCGAAGTGCGAAGCTCTGATATTCGAAATCGATCCCACTTCGAAATCCAGGACAACATATATCGAATATATATCGAATAGCGAAACATCGACACAGGTCCGTCATGTAATAAAACGAACAGACGATAGATGGACGAAAAGAGATGTAGAGTGGACTCCACGAGGATGCAACCACCCTCTAGGACGACCACCTATGTGTTTGGGGCGACGTGTTCGTAACTAAAGTCAGGCAGTTATACTCGCAGCTGCAGTTATCTTCTAGACCATGGTATCGCATCCGTCACCATACTCGATTCAAATGACTTCCATGCACGACGACTACGAGACAAAGAAACGAAGGAAAATGTGCTGGGGCCCGTCACAACTGGTGAAGATGGGCCTTCGAAGTATCCAATTAGGCAGATAAGTAAGTAAGCGAGTATATATATATGTATATATATGTGAGTATACATAAAATACGTATGTATACATGTGTATATATATAAGTATGTATAAGCAACCATACCGTGCTCAAATTTCGTAGGAGATCAAAGCGCAAACCTGGCTCCTGGGTACCCTTCAGAATACTTATTGCACATTGCCGAACCCAGAGCATCCATTACGGCTTTTGAGGTAAAATTTTCTGAAGCAATGAGTTCGAGACCGCGACGCTGTCGTCCCTTTTCCTGAAGTTATTCAAGAGATCAAAGTAGTCAAAGCTGTTTGTTTCTGGGAATCTAAAGTGATAAGGATGGAGATAAAACACTTTAAAAAGTAACCCTCTTCATAATTTCAAAAGCTTCGGGATCAACGGTCGACACAGGATCCTTAAGTATGTCTGATCCTCTGTAGGGTTCCCTTTTGACAGGCACTAGCTGAGTATGAACTTGCGCAGACATTGCGGCAGAAACAAGCTGGAATGAACAGATCGAGGATTGGAATAAACGAAAAAAACGAAGTTAAGGCTAGGATGAACACATAAGTAGACCCTAAAAGTTTGCTGATTCCTGAGTTCGAACGAAACAAGTAATTTCTGCACATCAATATTCGGGACCAATAAGTGAATACGGTAGTGTAGCTTCCTTTATAGATGTCATGCATACCAAAAAAGTCGTATCATTTCCGAATACACGGTGATAAATTTGACTCCTACAATTCCCTAGTGACTAATGAAATTCTTCACTACAAGAGTCAATGATTTGACGATAAAATCGTCTAAGAAGCATAAAATAATTATATCTAGTGGATGGACTATTTTTAAACTTCACTAAACATTGGCCAGATTTGTAAGTTCGCAAAAAATCGAAAAACAAAGAAGGAAAAGAGCCGCAGGGGTTTCTATATGATTTCACAACAACGTGAAATGCATCATTTCTATCCCAAAAACCCTAGTGTTCTATGTGAAAAGAAGTCGATTAGCAGATGATTCAAGAAGTCATTGGAAAGAAAATCTCTTATGACGTAAAAATCTCCTTTTTTGTGGTAGAATGGTAACAATGATTGACCTCACAATAGACAAACCAGTTGGGATTTAGACCGAATTTCAGCTGGTTGGCCATTATGGGTTGTCCATTGCGATAAAAGAAAACCGAACATCTGCAACACAAAAGCTTTCCGGTTTTCGGTAGTAAGAACTTCTTACGATCTGAGGCTCACTGATCACAAGAATTTCAGGGTCATGCCGGCGAGCGTAAAAGAATATTCAGGAATTATTCTGTTAGAATTCAATTTATCAAGTGTACTAATGACTTGCCCTGCTATTTGCGATTTGTTTTTGCTCTCCCTTGGGAAGATAACAGTTTGTCCGCAGTAAAACGGTGAAACGATCATATATTCAGATGGACTTGGGCTATCATTTGCTACATCTATGTTCCCTTAAAATATACGTAGAAGCCGTCGGTGGAACGCAGATAGAGATATTTAAAATTCTAAAACGTTTCTTTCCTTGAATTTCGCAGATTTCCAACTATTAATTCTATAGGCATGCGAGTAGTGAGGTGCTAAACGTTGTCCAGAAGTCATAAAAGGTTTCCGACCAAAAACTAGTGAATCCATGAAGTCAACTACTTTGATATGTTGTATCAGATTCGTTTTCTACAATTAACGACATAAATGGAAATTGCAAAAAGTGCTAAAGCTGGTTTTCTGATACTTGATACTTAAATGGCCCATCCTCACTGGTTGTGTGGACCCCAGCACAATCTCCATTTTCCGGAGATGTGGTGGTTAAACCATTATGGTTCCCTGGAGTCCCGAGGTCAGCCTGGCCAAAGTTTGCCCCAGGTTTTCACCACCACACCACCACAGGCAGTCGCAGCCCTTGTGGATCAGAGGGAGATTTGTCACCATGCGACTTTGATAGCAGGACGGTGGTGGGTCCTAGTATTGGTTTACTCTTAGCTAAACACCCCATCCCCCGCTATACATCGCAGCTCGACACCTACGAACACCTCCCAGCCACGATGAGGCGGTAAACCGTTGGGAGGGAATTTTTGATAGCTTTCGAAAAGTGGTAGGTGCGAAAGACACTAAATTTTCGTAACCACAACAGTGCCCATTTTGAAACAGGGTTAGGCATTCGTAGAGAACGTAACTTAGATTGCCGATATTACCGTCCTCGCGCATGAATGCAAACACCGATTCTTATGAATGAGGATTTAACACACATCGGACACCATCCATGGGAAGAATCCAAACCAATAATCTTCTACTATGAACAATTTCGATATGTAGATATCCAGTTGTCATACTTCTTGCACGCCTTAGTATTGTTCTCCATTCTTTCCATCACTTATCTTCCGCAGTGGCTGCCGGTTTGGAAAACGGATTCGACACTGTCCAAGTACCTGTTGCCTTCTTCCTTAATGAACATACTGAATGCTAATCGAACGTGATTTTCGAAAACACTCTTGTGCTTGGGCTTTCTCAGTTATTCATCCCTGTCACTCATCAGTCTTCGTGGATATCCGGAAATTTTGCCACTATACAAGTAAGATCCTTCAAGGCCGTCAGCGATTTAAATTTGTCAGCTGACCAATCAATGCTGAAAAAACAGGCCTAATTTTGCCAATCAAGTACCTAGCTGGTGTGTGAAGAAAATGACGTATAACCTTCCCAACATCTACAAGTAAATGATCGAAAAAGAAAGAGATAGGTTGTGCAAATTAGCAGTTACTATGTTGAATAACGCCATTTGCAGACATATTTGCGTCAAGACCGTTTCAGAAATGTAGTGACGACTTCGAAACAAGTGGAACACCAGAACGTGATAACTCAAAATCGAGCTCGTAGACCATCGTGGAATCGGAATGTGGACGAGAAACCGCACGAACCTCAAACATTGATGCTCTAGTTCTTCTTTCAGTGTGTAGAACGCTAACTTCTCAGAGAGTATTTGGCACAGTCAAACGTTGAATTTTGCATCGCCATTGACATAAAAATTACGAGTGCTTCAAGTTCTCTTAGTTATCCATCGGATTACAAGAATTTTACTTCCAAAAGGAGAGGTGCAATATATATCTCTTCCGAGCAAGAACGGAAACGGGCGTGACATTTACAGGAAACTATCCCGCCGTTTGTTTTCCGTCTGTAGGTAATAAGTTTCTTACTTAGACACACCTCTAAAATGACTAATAACCATAGTGCATCGCACAAAAACATCCAGACATCCAATTTCGGTCAGCAATACGAAGAATGCTTAGTTTTGCTCCAGCTTTTTTGCTCGACTGTTTTCTTGGTTGCATTTGTTTCTCCAGGTTAGAGCGGATGGCGCAGTGATCGGAGGCGCCCTGCAACACACACGCGGAATCGATCCCCGCGCCCATGGCCCACCAAGCTTTCCATCCCTCCGGGGTCGGCAAATTGGTACTAGACTTGTCTGCGAGGATTGCAGCACTGGCTTGATACATCGGTAGGCCACCGCGAGTCATTGTAAAGGCCGGATATGCATTCAACCACCTCCAAAGGGTGCTCAATGAAGTCGAATGCAAAGCGCATCCTTCAGGGATTGATCAACGCCTAGAGCTTCACCTTTTTTTATTCTGTATGAATAGGGCACAAATCCTGAAGTGTCGTGTATCAGTATCAGTACTGTACTGTCGTTACATGCTTTATTAGAAGACTTAGTGAATGGTCTCTTTTTTCGCCAATGCATACGTCGTCATCATCATCATCTTCTTCTTCTATCACCATAATAATCATTTGATGCATACTTGGCTTTAGAAAGTGTATCAGAGTTTCATATCTTCCTAATTACTGCGGTACGCAACGCTGGTTGTTGTACAGGATCCATCTCTCATCAAATGTCACAATCCCATAGAGAAATTAGTCGCTTCGGAAGCATCAAAGAAGCCTGGAACAGTCTTCATAACTATGGCCTCTTTGCTATTCATTCAGCTCGTTTACCAACCAATCATCGTACTTTCTATCTCTCCAAAGACTTCCAAAAAATGAACCGATGTTGATTAGCTAACGCCGAGTTCTTCAACGTCTCGAGTAGTCCTCAGAGAGTCGGCCTCGATTATTGCCTCCAAATTGTCGTCGCCCGCTGCTCACGGCTAGCATTCAGGCTCTCCGTCAACGATCTCCGACAGGAAACTTCTTGAACCATCTGCCCAATCGATGTTGGGAACCGCTTTCCAGGTCTACGCTTTGACGATATTTCGAACTGCTTCCGCCGCACTACATTCATATTTGAACAAAAGCAACAACTTGTTGCCTTCGGTACCAAACCAAAGCAATTCTAAAGCAGGTGTTAGAAAATACACTGGCAAAACTCCTAACTACAAAGACGGCTATTCATCTGGGCCAACTTAGATACTAAATAACATACAATCCCATCACTAAGAAGCGATACCATATATTCTTTATTTCACGGAAAAACCAACAGCGAAACTCCAGTTATCCGCGATTATATTCTTTTGTTTAGTCCTGCACTTAGTGACAAAGTAATGCGTTCCGTGCTCCATGGGCAATATGTGGACCGTTCTAATTCGCATTTCGAATATTGGAAATACGATGAAACAAAGGAGGAAACACCTTGTGAAGGGTTACTCCCACAAAAGAATACGAAAGTGCATGAATACTCTGTCGATGCCTAGATGATTGATGGTCTCACGGATGATAAGAATGGGAAAAACATAAATTTACATGTAAATATGGATAGAGATATAAACATAAATATAGATATAAACTAATACCAGGTCTCAAATTAGGTACCAAAGGGAATTATGATGAATTTCCACGGGAAAAACCACCAAGTAATGAATGAGATAACGAGGAAAACCACAGGCAGTGCGAGTTCGCTAAGGACGACACGGCTTATCAGGACCGTTCGCGAAGCGACCACACCAACCGAGCGCGTGAGAGGCGCCACGTTGACCAAACGGAGCGAGTTCGGGGGTCAAATTCTACCCGCAAGAACAGAAACGCCCAAATGAGAGTCAATGAGATGAAAAAGATTCCAACCTTGAGTGGAACAATCGTCGGCCATTGCAGGATTGTGCCAATTTTCTGCATGATCTGAAAAATCGAACGCTAACCCCGTTGTATTTCACGCCGATCGATCAATAATAACCAGTAAATAACACACAAGTAAACATTAGGACCTAAAGATTTCCACAATGGTAGGCGCTACGGCTTTCGTTATCACTTTTTTTGTTTCGAAGAAATTTCTTGACAAAGTCATACATGCATCTCTCGTGGTCTATTTATAAAGTTCGAGGAGTCAGAAAAAGGAATTTAGGATGGTGATGATGATGATGATGACGAACAATGAAAGCAAAGGCAACAGGATTTCTGGGCCGCTTTTAGAATCCAGACTTTTCCGGGTTTCTGTTGAAAACCTAAGCCTAAAATCTGCCCTATCACAGAAAAGTTAAGTGTCCATGTGAAGAGTTTT